AATGCCAATTTTCTGTTCTTCATTGGCAGAGTGAGCAATATAGCGATAATCTAGAAAATAACACCAAAATACGAATATAAACTATTTCGAAATCATGATCGATTATGTTGCTATTAATTAGGGGGGAACAAATGGTCATCAAACAAATGATTGATTTGAGCTTGCAGAATTTACCCCTTGCGTAATTTGTGAGTTCGTGCGGCGAATATGCGCAATAAGCAAAACAGTCAGATTCTATAGGAAGTCTTCAATTTTGGCACGTTGTTGCAACTGTGATGAATTTGCTGATCCAGGCTGATGGTTGTGGATAGAAACATCGATTAAAAGCATTTTTGTTTATGCATTTTTCTACGATACCGGTAGCATCATGAGGCAAAGACCTACCGGTGAGGTAACGAAAACTATCGGAAACCGATGTGCTAACATCGATGTCATTTGGCATCCTCAACCATGAATAAACAAATTAACTGAAATTATCGATTGTGGGTATATTACAGAAACTGTAACCATTTCGTCGATTCATGCTTCGAGGCACTAAGAATAGCGATGTTATTTTTAGTGCTCACATGACCTCACAGGACAACTAACCAGACCGAAGACAATAGGCTCAAATTGAGGAATCGGTAGAAATGCAATAAATGGAAGATTCTATAAGCTGCTCAAATCAATGTGAAGTTAATGACTATAGGCAATTTCCGATCAGCTCTGACAAGTAACCATTACTGCGTCATGATGGGCTTCAGAATCGTCTTTGGTTCGTTACTGAGCTGGCGTTAGATCCTGTGATTTATAAGCATTTGCCGAATTTGCGCCGCAGATTCACATCGCTTTTGTTTTCCTCGTAAGCATAGCCATTAATTCACTACCAAAGAAGACAGTTAATTCAAATGAGGTCAACAGCAAAACGTAGAAGCTATTCCGTGGGAGGAGGGGGGTTCTTTGCCCCCATGATATGCAAGATCGTTGTGGATACTGATCCGAATTTTTCAGTAGCCGCATACTCGTTAGCTATTTGAATAATAAATTTAAAATATTTCTTTCACTCAGTTATTTGCCAGCGTACTTTAAAATTGGTGCCTCGTTCAGCTTGAAAGTTGCACCTTTTCCTTTCAATAGTAAAGCGAACATTTCTGAAATAAAATATGTTCTAACGGTGTGTCATATTAGTGATGGATAAGTTATTTATTTTTAGATTACATCTTCGTAGTCCCACAGGGTCTGCTATTATCACACAGAAAACCACGCTATCCATACTGCTTCAAAGTCAACGACTTGTTACTAGTTGCTCGTGTGATTGCACAGCAGCACAATGGGCTAAGCTGCTAGTTCAGGGGAATGAGCAGTCAGTAAAAAGTTTCATCTGCTGGTAGGTAGCAGCCCCTCCTTTAAAGTAGAAAGTGGTTAAACTACCATTGTACTGCTGTCCCCCTTGAGAGCTATTGCATAGATGCTTCACAATAATGAGAAATGAAATGTCATCATAATCATCAGCCATTCTCTTAGCCACTGTGGAATGAAACCCTCTCCAAAGCTATGTTATGACGTTCTGTTTTCTGTCAATTTTATGCAACCGGATCCAGCACACTTCAGCTCACCCTACCGTCTATCATGAGGTCTCCATACGGAGCCGCTTAGTCTCTCTTGCAATCAAGCGTAATGTCTCTCTGGTTAGGCGATTATCAGTTCTTTTTTTAATATATAATGCAAATTGCCGTTTTAAATTCTATCGTCTGGTAATTATACAGCAGACTCTTTTTCGTGGTTCTTTCATCTTTCTACTTTTGCTGTTGCTCCAAAGATACATCGTTTTCTGTTGCGTTGCGTGATTTACAGTTTGTGAATAGCTTTCGACTCAGGGTCAACGTTTTGCACCCATGGGTTAGCACATAAAAGTCAAAAACATTTCCTTTTAAAACACTAGGACAGTTTTTCGGATAAGTCATTAACTTTCTAAAAGCGCTCGTAGGCCGTTTTACTTTTTTGCTGATTTCGCAAAATCGGTGGATGGTACGGAGATGAGCTGTCCCAGAGAGACGTGGTTTTGCAGCTCTTCAAACCTAGTCTTCATCACATCACTAGTTAGCATTTTTAAGCATGAGTTGTCTTCCTCTGGTTTATTTTTGGTCGTTCATCTTATGAATTCTTCTTTGTAAATGTTCTGATGATCTTAAGAAAATCAGAATATTGGTCACAATCAGAGGTGGCTGAAATATCCGCATTTATCTTTAGCCCATGATTTTCACAAAGGAGTGTCGTGAGAACCTCTTCTAAACTCTGTGAATAACTTTGATGTTACAGCGTCTCCCTATGGAGCGCCCATTTTGCTTTTGAACTTCTCGTGAATCGTTGCACTAGCCGTCACATTTACGTCAATAATGACTACGAGGTCTCTGTATCTTTTCTCGACTCCGTGGATCCTCGCGGAATCCAGTTCGAAACGGAGGTACGCTGAGTCAAAAGCCTTCTCGAAATTGATGGACCCAAGGCAGACAAGAACTTGAACATTCGTTGCTTGTTTGAATTTTCGTTGTTCTAACTGAAGCTGGTACGTTGTAGCAAATTCACTTCTGATTGCTGATTGTCTTTTTGACTGTGCACCACCCGACCAGTGAAACTTTTCTCAAATGAGAAATTCTCTGCAAAACTGATATACTTTGTTCCGCAGAACACAAATCGAAGCTGATCACAGGCTTGAGCCATTTTACCTTATTCTTTATAATAAGCTTAAACAATTAATTATTTTGCGGAATTTTTGAGTGTTTGCGCTATTCATAATCTGGGCGTTGAATATC